GGAGTGAGTACTGTCATTTGATAATTACAAATCCGATTAATTCAAATTTTCACAATATAAGGACTTATTCGAAGGAAAATGTTTCTTATCAGAAAAAAAAAATTATACTTAAATTTTAAACTTCTGATTAAAAAGAAACATACTCATTTAATGTATTATATCCTCTGATAATAATGAATGTTTTATTTCGTTTATATTAGAAATCGAACGGTACTAATCACTCCCTTACATCATAGCAAAATTTATAGAGCAAACATAATTCACCTGCAATCAAAATTCTATATAATAGTCATCTTATAATCACATCTTACTATAAAAACGAAGTTTTGTTTGAATCATTTTAACGTATTGTTAAATTTATTAGTTAAAAGAGTGATACATAAATTGTTGATCACGGAAATTAGGTGACGTTTATTTTTATTTTTAAAAAATAGGCTTAAGTCATCTACGGCCACTTAAAGTTGTCCACATATTTCACTTTGACACTTCAACTTGGGCTTTTACTTATTGAACACCTAATTTATTCAAAAATCATTCCTATTAGACACAAAATGCTGACATGGCAAAAAAGTGTGTTCCACACTCCTTGAGCGCGTATAGCAATTAAAAATCATATTTTTTAAATTTATTTTTCAACTTATTTTTAAAAAAAATTATAAAAAATAAAATGGAAAATCTCTGTCTCACCACCCTCTAAACGTCTACCTCTCTTTCTCTAACCCTTTTTTATTCTTCTTTTGCATTTTTTTAAAGTTCCTTTTTTGATAAAATTAATATAAATTGATTATTTTTTTCAGCAAAAGTCGTTATTCTTTATTAGATAATTATGGTAGTGAGTGATTATAAATCCAAAATAGTGAAAAGCTTTGAAACGCAGCAGATTTTGACGAAGAAGAAGAGGAGGGGGGTTGGCGGGGGGGGTGAGATTGATTGGAAATAATTTGTTTTTTTTATCTAATTGCCACGTGTCATCATTTTATTGGTCTATCTGCTATGTATTTGTGTTTGAGACACACACACTTCTGTCTTTCATCAGATTTTCATTTTGTGTTTAATAGATATAAATTTGTTAAGATTAAAGTGTTCAATAAGTACTGACCTAAGTTAAGGTGTCTAACTGAAATATACAGACAACCTTAAGGGGACGTATATGACTTAAGCCTATATGTGACTTTTTTCATTCAAACATCATAGAATTTTTTATTTTTTATTTTTTTGCTTTTCAAACATTAACAAAAGTTATTTTAAACAAAAAGTACAAAATCATTTGGTGAAGTCTTTTTGTCTAAACAAATCTATATGAAACACATCATACATGCTAACTTGTTGGTCAAGAAAAATCGAACTTTAATTTGCTAGTGGCATAATCGATATTACGAAGTAACATTAGGGGTGTTTTTATAAATTTTCTGCAGAGAAAAAAAAGGACAGAGTACTACTGCTACAACCAATTATAGACGAACCGATCTCCAATTAACACACGCCTCCAAAGTTGTTTGGCTCATTGTGAGCAATGGCCAATGAGAATGAATAATGATATTTTAAAATTGAATCAATAGATTTTAAATTCGGAATCTGTCTCTAAATAATTAAAGAGTATTATTATTAGATTGGAACTTTTTTTTATTGCAATGGATTTGAATTGTTTTAAACAAAACAAAATATTAACGTCTCAACAACAATAACATTACAAATGAAATCTTACTAAGTGGGATTTGGAGAAAATAGAGTATATATAGATATTATCACTATCTCCATCTTAGTGAAGATAGAGATTCTTTTCGAAAAATGTTGGGATCAAGTGCATCGTAATATTCACGTCTCATGAAAAATATATACATTTATTTTTGTATTTTTCCCAACATTTTTCATATTCATGTGATAAAAATATACTAAGAAAGTTGACTTAAATTATTCATTTTATAAAATAATGACACTGATTATCGTCCATTACAAAATCTTGACCTTCATCAAAGTTGAAATATTGTCAACTTATTTGACATTCAAACAAAAATATCGATATTCGATTACAAGATATCAGATAAATAAATTAAATCAAAATAAATAATATGGCAACCATTTAATCAATTTCGAGGTCAACATCAGACTCCTTGACTAGTAAAACACCTTTTTCCTTTAAAATTAAATGTTCACTATTTATAGAAGACTTCCCTGTTTGGACAATATTTTAGTACTCCCTCCGTCGACAATTGTTTGGCAAGTATACTAAAAATAGATGTCCAAGATTAATTGTCAATTTAAACAATCAAGAAATAATTAGTCATTTTTTTTCCAATTCTACCCTTAATGATAGTGTAGTTCAATTGAAAAGTTATGTGGACTTTTGATATTCTTGGTATAGTAAGGTTATATTAATCAAATTACACCTTGTATTAAATTTTTCTTGAGGGGTGTGCATGACCTTACCCTAACAAACAATTGTGGACGGAGGGAGTAGTAGTTGAATCAAATAACATTTGAATTTGATATTGAATATTAGTGCCCCATTTGACCATAATAAACAAATCTTTTTTAATTTTATTTGAAATTTTGAATTTGTGGCTGGTTGTGTATTTTTTTCCGAAGAATAGTTAGAATTTGAATTTACCTTTCTCTAATGTGTTTTATATTTCTAATTTCTAAAAGTAGTAAAATCATTCTATTTTAACTAAATGTCGTAAAACATACAATTAAAACATTTTTAAAAGAATAATATATTAAATAGATAATCACATATAATATCATACACTACATCATATATACGAGCTACTACATACTAGGTACTAGTACTACTCATCTCAATGTCTTCATCCTTTTGATTACTACTGTCGGGGGGGGGGGGGGGGGGGGGGAGGGTTGTTTTAATTGGTAAAATTTTT